ATGTAGCAACGAGTTGCGCAGGAAAGAGAAAGTAAGCGTAAGATGTGGTGGTGTTGCTGTTCTTGTAGGTCTTCTTCTTCAGTTGAGTCAAGGTGGCCTCAACGGCCATTTTGGCTCAAGTGCCACTTCTCAAGCCAGTCTGGACAATAGCCAGTCTGGACAACGCTGTTGCCTTCGTTGGCCTGGCCCCAGGCACCTGGCGCCAAGTGAATCGGGCTTTGGGATCGTTCCCAAATTTGAGACTGTTGAGCCAAGCACCCCCAGATGGCATTGCGGACGCCATCGAAGCGATGAGGCTACCCAAGTTGGATGCTGCAGGCAATGCTGTTGACCCCCCGGAAGATCGAGAGTTGACAATGGTGGAGTCAGTGCAGATTGCACTTGTTTGGAGGATTGCAAGGCAGTCGTATGGGTTAGAAGACATAGATATTTTGGCACCTGGAGCAATACAAGCATTGACATCTTCGGGATTGCCAGCAACTGGTGCAAACATGTTGCCGCTTCCTGTAGGTGCGAGCAGTGCGGGCAAGGCTTTGGGTGTGCAAAAGATCAAAGTGTCACAGATTGCTGACCAACTTGACGACACAGAACTAGAAGTCATTACAAAAGGTGAAGTTGACGACGCCTATAAGACGTTCAGAGATGTCATGGGCGCTGATCCTCCAAAAGAAGCAGAACCATCCATTGAGCAGTTGACTGTCATGATCAACAAGGTAGTCACCAGAGGAGCTGCACCATACGCAGACTTCAGCGTGCTTACCCCATATGCCAGAAGGACACAGAAACACATGAAGGCGAAGGGCTTCTTGCTTCAGGAAGACGGTACCTGGAAACAAAGCGAAGTTCAAGGACCGCCGAATTTTGAAGCATGGTCAGCGTGCTGGGATGTGTACAGAACGCTTCTTCTCATGCTCAAGCATGAAGCTATGGGGCCTGGAATGGATAGAAAACCTGTGATCACTTGGGCGGCCCTGGACGAATACTTCAGGAACATTGCAAACCTCAACCGACAGTACCCCGAGTGCTGGCACCTCATCATGCAGGCTGAGGACCGTTGCCGAAGCGATCATTTGGAGAGGACGAGAAGAAATCTAACCAGGGCAGCTGCGGAGGGTCGTCTTCCGATGAACATAGCGTTTGCAGTTGATCAACCATGGATTGGTGTCTTCACCTTCGTCGTCAAGAAGTTCAAATTCCAGCACAGAACTTCATCGCCCGTGGAGGTGGAGGACGAAGGATGAACAGGTTTGATGCCGAGGCTAGCGACATCCCCGAGGCCGCAAGAGAAGCCATGGGTGGAAGGTTGAAAGGCCCTGATCGCCCACATGGTGAAGGTGAGTCAAAAGCTGCAAAGAAAAGGAGAAAGGAGAAAGAAAGAAGGGAAGAAGAGTGGAAGAAACAGCAGCAGATGAATGATATCCAGACGTGGCATCGGTCGCACAATGATTCATCCAGTTGGCGTGGACCTGGCAAAGCATCAGAGAAAGGAAAGATGCAACATCCAAGGAAATATGGCCAGTTCTTTGTCACGGACAGGGATGGAAATCAGATTTGCTACAAGTTCGCAAAGGGGCAGCCGGGGGCATGTGCGGAGCCTTGCTCTGATCAGCGTGCTCACGTCTGCCAGGTATGTCTAGGCCAACACCCCAACGTTCAGTGCCAGAAGAAGGGCCAGAAGAAAGGGGGCGGCAAAGGCAAGTGAAACGATGAAAGAGCGTTGCATGTGCAAGAAGGCCTGGAGGAGCACTGGGGTGACACTTTAGTTTTGCCACCTGAGGATTCTTCTTGGCAAGTTGAATTCGCAAAAGTTTCAATGAATTCGGCAAATGAGGAAGAAGTGAGACCAAGGAAGTTCGTGTCGTGTTTGCAGAATTCTTCGCTGGAATGGGAGGCTTCTCGGAGGCAATGAAGTTGGTGGGCACGAGCTTAGTAGAGGTTCGTGCTACCCTAGATGGATACGCCGGGGAGTGGAATATTCTTGCGGAGGAAGATTACGAGATGGCCAAACAACAACTATGCGGAGAAGAAATAGATCACGCTCACTTCGCTCCTGCATGTCGTACAATGTCGATGGCAAGAAGGTCTGACCAGTTCGGAACAGTGAAAGTCCTTAGAGATGCAAATAGACCTGAAGGTTACGGTGACAAAGATGCAGAAGAATCAAACGAAATGGTGAAGAGAATGGTGGCACTTTGTTTGATGCTGAATGGACGAGGTGCAACCTTCGCCATAGAGAACCCTTGGATGTCATTCTTGTGGTTGTTGCAGTCGATGCAAAAGGTTATGAGGATGAAGAATGCTGAGCTCCTGTGTTTGCATCAGTGTGCCTATGGCGCTTCGTCAGTGAAGCCTACAGGCATACTCACTACGGCAGTGTGGATGAAACTGGTCAGGAGTTTGTGTCATGAGGTGAGGGAACACCTACACGCAACAACTCTTTGTGGCAAGGCATGGGACTATGTTACAGAGAAGTGGATATGGAGAACGAGCCTTGCAGCCGAATATCCCTGCGGACTATGCCTGGCTTGGAGCAAAGCATTCAAATGCTGGATGACGTCAAGGTTGGGAAGAAAATGGATGGAAGAGAGGAGCTACAAGATTGTGGGAAGATGGAGAAACGTGCTTGTCAGGGCAAGTGAAGTCCAGCGTGAAGACAAGGCGCAGAGGACTGAGAAGATGACGGTCAAGGAGAAGAGAGAAGAAGAAAACAAAAGGGCAATAGGAGGTCTGCGCAATCCACAGTCGGCAGTCTCCAAGAACTGGGCACTGCGACAAATGGGTGAAAAGATTCGCAGAGTGATAGAAGGGCACATGAAAGAAGATGAAGTTGAGAACATGGTGGTTGACATGAAGAAAGGAACAAGCGCGGAATGGATAAAAGAGATCAGAAAAGCTCTGCGCAAAGAATTTGGAGCAAAAGAAGAGGACAAAGGGTTGCAAACAGAGTTGTGGCAATCGATGTTGATGCAAGCTGAAGATGCGGACAAGGAGGTGCTCATCGAGTGGATGAAGAATGGCTTTCCTCTGGGCATAAAGAAGGAGATAGAGAACACGGGCATCTTCCCAGAAACGCTGGAGGACTCAGCAGCAGTTGAAGCGTCCAGAGTTGAAGGATTGCTGAAAGGGGACTACGATGGATCCCTGAAGAACTATGTCAGCTTTGAAGAAGCAGGGCAGCCGGCTGAGGAGCTGCTCAAAGAGATGGAAAGAGCTGGCAGGACAGAGGTGTTTGCAAGTTGGGATCAGGTCGTGCAGAAAGTAGGGCCTGCAGAGGCAGTGTTGACAAAGCTTGCATGCATCACAAAACTCAAAGAAAGTGGAGAACTAAAGCATCGCTTAGTCGTGGACTGCAGAAGAAGTGGCGTAAATGGACTGGCGCAAGTCAGGGAAAGAGTCATCCTGCCCAAAGTTACAGACTTCGTGAAGTCAGTGCAGAGAATTTTGAAGAAGACCAGTTGGAATGTAGACGGCAGCTGGCAGTTTGAGCTCTTTTCATCAGACTTTTCAAATGCTTTCTACATGTGTCCCCTGCGGTCAGAAGAACGATGCTTTGTGATTTTCAAAGGAAGAGATGGAAGATACCATGTCAGCAGATGCGTGGTCTTTGGTCTGGCAGCAGGTCCTTTGTTGTGGGCTAGAATAGCATCAGCTGCGATGAGACTTGCACAAGCAACTATGAAAGACCACGAGGCTGCGATTTCATGCTACGTGGATGATCCGTTGCTGGCCATTCTGGGACCATCACCATATGAGAGGATGAAGTCGTTTTGCATTTGCACCCTGCTGTGGCAAAGCTTAGGTCTGGATATGGCTTGGCGCAAAAGCTGCCATGGTCAAATGGTGCCGTGGATTGGCTATGAGATCAGCTTGGCAGGCAAAGCAATGGGAGATGTCACAGTGAGAATGGCAGAAAACAAAAGGGTGAAGTTGCACGAAACATTCGAGCAGCTACTGGCCTACCGCGGAATGATGCCGTTGAGGCTACTACAGCAAGCTACAGGTGTGCTTGGATGGGCTTCCAGCATCTTGATGGCTGCAAGGCCGTGGTTGTCCATGCTATACGCGGCATCGACTCAGCACCAAAGAACTGAACCAATCAGGCATCGTGCGCGAGAAAGAAAAGGCCTGGTGTTTGTACGTCAGGTGGACAACGCCTTGAGATGGTTGAGTGCAATGGTTCAGGAGGTCGACGCCCTACGTCCAAGGACTCAGCAGAACCTTCAAATGGCGGCCGGATGCACCCAGAATCTTGATTCAAACGGATGCATGCCCCACAGGCATGGGAGGATTCTTGATGATGGGACAACAATATACAGCATACTGGCACTCAGAGGTCAACAATGCAGATCGTGAATTGATGCAGTCAGACGCCGGCGATCCTGCCTTTCAGAACGAATGGGAGTTGCTGACAGTTTGGCTGTCGTTAGAGGCTTTCACACCATGGTTGAAACAGATGTATGCAACACCACAGGTACTCATTCGCACGGACAACATGGCAGCATTGCGAGCATCGTCTGAGTTCAAGGCCAAGTCACCGATACTCACCCAGCTCGCTGCAGAGATCTCGATTCTTGTAGAGATCTTGCAGTTACTGCCACTACAAGCCGAGCATGTGCCTGGATTGGTAAATGACATTGCTGATCGGTTAAGCCGCCTCAGTACGTCAAGCAACAAGTGTGTGCCGAGGCAGCTCCTTCATGCCACCGCAGTGGAGGCTCCAGACCGAAGCAAAACCTCGTTTCGGGCCTGGCAGTGAAAAGAGCTGTCACGTGTTTCTGTGCCGCAATGCTGTGTGTGTGCGTTCAGTCCAAATGCAAACACAGAACGGTGTTGTAGGATGTCAGAAATATGTTCATGTGTTCACACTGCAGGATGGTTACGACGCCAGTGCAGTGGGGGACCTCAGTCGCGCTGCAACGATGACGTTAGGTTGGAAGGTAACAGGCAGCGTTTTCTTCAGGGTCACTGGAATAGTGGTCCTGAGGGAAGGCGTGACACTAGAATAGTGTTGCCGCCGGTACTTTTCGACTGATGTTGTTGTGTGCACGTGCGACTTGAATTGTTAGGAAACAAATTGTTTTGGATGAATTTTTGCGTAAACGGGATAAATGAAGCACTAAGATAATTGAGAAAGAGGTCACACATGTGCAATAAACACGGTTGAAATGAACGCAGTGAGGGATGAGATTTGGCCCAAATCAGAATGTTCAAAGGGCAGAGGGGACCAGCATTGGTTCCATTCACGTATGATGGGTTCTTGGTAGAAGAAATTCCACCAGCGGTGAGAGCGGCTAGAATAGCACTGGGATGGAGTGCTGATGAAGTAGACAAGAAAACACCTCCCAATGAGGCGAGGGTAAGGATCCCAGACAGAGCTGCACCAGCCACACCAGGACCTGCTCCAGGCACTCCTCAACCATGTCTGCAAGGGCATACCCTTGTGACAGCGGCAGGAGAAGTGCTTAGAAGAAAGAGAAAACAAGGGCCATGGCAACCAGATGCGAGTGTGAAAAGGCCGACGAGGGGGTCAGCTGAATTGGCACTACGCATAGCAGAAGATGAAGCCGAGAGGTGTCTGGCTGTCAAGCAGTTTGGCAGCTTGAAGTTAGCGCCGGCCACCATCGACACGAAGGACTCGTTGTTTGGGCTCTGGGGGAAAATCTGCGAAAGACTGCACTTAGAGAGTCTTCCTGTGACCGAAAGGTCTATCAATGAAGTCACAGCGATCCTCAGGGCCAGTGGATACAGAGCCGCAATGGCGTACGTGTACGAGGCCAAGACCAGACACGTGCGAGAAGGTCACGAATGGAACGACAGGTTGCAGATGGCATTGGCAGATGCGAAAAGGGCGGCAAAGAGAGCACTTGGGCCACCCACAAGGGCTGAAGAAATCAGACCGGAGTGGTGGTCTCAGGTAGCTGTGAAGTGTGGTAAGGAACCACGTGAGATTGAGTTCGAGGCGGATGAGCCAGCTGGAGGACTTCGTGTCTGGGTGCTAGCAACAAAGTTCTTGCTTCGGGAGACGGAGTTGGCTGGGCTGACGGTCGACAGCGATGGGATTCACCTCGATCGCGCAGCCATGACGGTGAGCTTGCATCTTACTGTGCAGAAGACGGACCCGACAGCAAAAGGAAAGTGGCGCACACTTGCATGCTCTTGTGGGAAGAAGCATCCATCAGTGTGTCCATACCACACGAGCCTGGATCTGGTGAACTTGCAACTACGAGCTCTTCGGTTGACTAGACAAGATGAAGCAAAGGGAAAGGGCTATCCCTTGATTGGCCGTCTGGACAATGCGAAGGCCTTTGTGGAAAAGGAGAAGATGATCTCGCATGCAAAGAAGTTCGGAACCTTAGTGTCCAGAGTGGTGCAAGAAGCAAAGGAACTAGATATCGAAAGAGTCACCGGGCACTTTGCAAGAAGATCTGGTGCGAAGGACCTGGCGAGACAAGGCATTCCGCTGACTGCAATACAATGGATGGCAAGGCACTCCTCAAATGTAACGCTGCAGTACGTGGAAGATGCCTGGTCTGAAGCGCCTAGGTCAGACCTACAGTTGCAAGACATGTCAACTTTGTGTGAGATGGCCAGTGCAACATTGGCACGTGTGGAACAGGTGGAAAAGGCGGTGGACGATACGGAAGAATGGATGAGACAGCAGCTGGCAAAGTTGAGCCCAGTGGAGCAGACAAGTTTGGGAAAAGAAGAACTGAGAAGAGAAATTCGTGATGCCTTAATTCCGATTGCAGTAATTAATCACCAGTCAGGCAAGATCCACAAAGTCGTAAAGAGCAGCTGTGTCGGGAACGATGCACGGCTTTGGACGACTCAATGTGGTTGGCCGTGGTTGGAGTCAGCTAGATTTTGCACTCAAGTGTTTGAAGGTGAAGAAGAGCCGGAGACCTACGACGAGATATGCAAGAAGTGTTTGGTAGAAAAGGCGATGTAAGGGGAGGTGGACGCACTTAGAATAAGTGATGTTCATCTCCGTCTGATTGTGGAGAAGAAGAATTCTGATCCATGATTGGACAGGTGGCATGACCTAGAAAAGGTTGCGTCTAGGGCCTTGAGGCACAAGGCACATCGCCAACTGCTTGAAATAGAAAAAATGTGCGACTTGTTTTGTTGGGAGGTGGAGGGGACTGAAGCAGACGACTCTTT